ATGATATGAAACTTTATATTTTCAAAAAAGGCTACATGAGAACTTTTATTGACCAGTGTAAGTAATTTATGACTGCTTCCAGTTACAAACTGACAGCTCGTAATGTCCTGAAAACGTCGTTCTGGGAGTAGTTCGAAAATCATTTTACCAGATTAGTAATTACTTTTACTCTGTACCGCCCAGATGATATAGTGGTCAGGGGATATCGAAAGGTTCGGGTTCGAATCCCAGAGAATGTATGGACTCTTGTGGCATGGGAAAACTTTAAATATGCGGCAAACCGAAAGTCTTCTCAAGAGGTTGATGAGGAGAAGAGGAGTGGAAGACCCTCGGGACACTTAGAATCGTCCATCGGGTTGCTGTCCATCAAAATTGTGGGCGGAGGTCTGCAAAGTCGTACTGTCACCTGTATGGTGCTCAAGGCTCTAGCTAACGACAGTGACATTCCATTCCAAGGCAGTCCTTGCCACGACGCATTTCGTGGGCTTGTTCTGATGTTACTGATAAACACGTGAGTTAACTCACTATATACACTCGATGCCAGTAATGGCCATAGCACATCTCGTAGAGCCCAAAAGAAAGTAACGAATTTATTTCATTTCTTTTTAGAAAGTTATTAATAAATTTAAACTACTCAATGTCCTTACGTAATTATTGAATTTTTACTTCCTTGTACGAAATGAAGGAAGTAATGTAATTGCGAAAATTTTCGGGTATCATATTTCAACGAAAATATCCTTTTTAACTGCTGTTCAAACCATTTGAACGATGTTTTTGCATGACGTCTGTACGTACAGACAGAATAAAAGACTTTTTTTTTTTTTTTTTTGCTAAACAGGATTGTGAAATGGATTCAGAAGAGATTTGTTCTTGATGTCTCTACGTCTTGATACGTACGTATGTATCTCGCATAATTCAAGAAAAAGTAGCAATAGAACGTTGAAATTTGGGACTGCTATAACATGAAATTGTGCACCTCCCTTTTTCGATGCAATCGGCTGCACCAGTTGTATATAAATATAACTCTGTTACCACTCTGGTTCGGTAAGCTTAATTTTTTTATTCCTATATATTAGTAATTGTGCCCTTTTTGCTTTGAAAGTGATTGAATTATGTGGCTTTTATGTTCCAGTTAATGTTTTTATGCCTTTAGTTAATCTGTATGCAATAGTTGTAGAATTATCAACAATTTAAAAGTTTCGAGTCAAGCCTATCGAACCGCCATTTGTTTACATTTGAAACTTAGTAGAATAAAGTCAGTTTCTGCACATTCAATGTCTTTTTGCCCAGTGGGACCAAAAGTAAACTTTCAGTTTAGTGTACCGAAAAATCTGCTTTCTTCCCCCCTGGCCAAATTCTTGTTTATGTGTAAAAACTCGAATTTTAATTGTAAAAAAATTATTAACTATTTTAACTGTATTTGGTGTTTTTTGTCTTTCTGTATTTTACGATTCTTAATAAAGATATTTTGAGGTTTTATGTATTTTTGCCTTGCCACGAAGTGAGAACTAAGTTAATTGAATGAGAAATGTGTCTTTAAGGAAACTCGAGGAAGTAAATTTAAATGAAATGCAGCAAAAAATGTGTATAATTTAATAGGCTATACAAGGAAGTCATGTGGAGTCCACATCAATTTTTCTTTTTACTTAAGAAACTTAACAATGTTATTCAACAAGATATAATTCATTCAGGAGAACATACATAGTTTTAAATATTTTGATTTAGTTTGATAATACAATGTGCTTTAGTTTGAAATAATTAAAGAAGATATACAGAAGACCTTTAACATGTCTGAGAATGGGCAATTTGCTATGCCACGTGGATATTAAGATCGTGAACTTGCCAAATTGCATAAATAACAAATGCTCTGATGCCGTAACGTATTGGAGCTCATGAAAATAAACTGAGAGGAAAAAAATGCAGAAATTGAGACATAGATATTTCCAATGTTTAGGGCACATGAGACGGCATTAAATTTGCTGAAAACTGGAGTCTTACTTCCGAAAACGAAAGAGTCTTTCCATACAAGTACATTCAAATCCCCATTAATTAAACAGCTGCGGAATAAACGGGTTTGAAGATCAGCTCGGTTTTGTTTAGAAAAAGATTAAGTTTGCTCATTGCGGAACGATGGAAAAATTGCTATCTTTAACTATTAGATTAGAGCAAAATAACTGCAGGAAATGCAGAAGAAAATGCGTGAGATAACAGCAGTGATATCCAGCCATGGCTGCAGTACTTAAGAGTATTTTAATCCACAAAAGTATTGCAAAATCGTGTAACCATTAAATTCTAAATTGAAAAAATAAATTAAGTGTACACTACTAATCTTCTGTTTTTCATTGACTGTAATCTACATACAAGAGTAATAAAAACAAGTACTTTGTTTTTTTTAATTAGTTTGTTAAAGTGTTTCCTTCTTATTTCGAGTTATTTAATTTACATAACGCAATAAACTTATTCTCCAAATTAAACTGAATAAAAATACAGGTAAGTAGTTAAAAATATTTTCTGTTAACTATAATTTAATGAGTCCTTTTTCCTGTGCCTTTTTTATGTGGTGTTGGATTGATTAACCATAATCTTGAGTTAACCATCTACGTCATCTGGGGTATTATCCTCGTTAATCGGGAGCTCCCACCAGCGGCCGAGCGGTAAAATCGCGGAACACTGGTAGTTCCGACCTGGGCATTATTCCAGGCGAACGGACCGGCTGCATATGCATTTTCATGGTTTTCCATAGTTGTAACGAGAATACGAGCCAGATTCCCTTAGAAAGTCCTCCACGAAGACATCCCACCCCTTAGGTAGATAACTCTATTAAGCTTTGCCATAATCAACTTAACCAAACCCAGTTAATTGGAACTCTACTATAGGCAGGCAACGTCTTGAATATTGACTTGAATATTGACTCTTGAGGTCTTGAATATCTCAACAGGCAACGTCTTGAAAATTGACTTGCGTGCTATGGCTAAAACTATCATTTGCCCTCGGATAGAAAACGACATTACTATTTTAACTTCTTGAAATTTATTTCCTTTACGTCATAAACTGAAGTCTAACCATATTGGGTCCTTCAGCGATAAGTACAGCGACAAATTCTTTGACAAAATAGTAATTCGTTGTAACAGGCATCTTCAAAACGAAAGCAATCATTGGCAATATTCATTTAATTATACCTCGCGGATTCACATTAATTTAAAAATTAAGGTCAGTCTAGAAAGGTCTTTCCAGTCTAGAAAATTTAAATCCATTCTTTTCAGAAAGCCAAATATTGTGCAAGACTTTAACACTAATTTCCAAATGAAGATAGTTTTTTAACGGCTACATAACTGAAAATGTGTAGCATCTTTAAGACTCAAGACGATCGTTCGTTGAACACAATTGATATGCTACCCATATAGCATTTATAAAATAAATTCTATATTTAAAGAAATTAAGAGACTACATGGATGCACAAAGATTACTTTACATTATGACTGGATTCATATTTTCTTGTTTCCAATATATTTACCAACGTGCTATTCAAATTCTTGCAAGCAGCTGGACCTTCTCAGAAGAGGGAACTCAGATTGTTTTGGATGTACTTTAATTTCATCACTCAAAATGAGTTGGTTGTTAATCACATCAACAAGATGTTCCTTGAGATGGCTATTAATACTTTCATAAAAATATCTGCTTCTTCTAATGCGGAATACGATCGGAGTGCTAAAACTGATAATTATAGTCCACAATGGGGTAAAATGTGCCCTTTTTTAGCTCTTGAGCCACAGCACATGGCGTTATACTTTGATTTCTATATTGATTTGGATTACCATTGTAAAACTTATATCTTCTAAGTTGATGATTTTCCTTCCGAGTGACTTATGAAATACGACAGTCAGGGAAATCTTCTTCACAACAAACTAAATAACTGAAGACCTTTAACGCTGATAATATAGTATAACTCTAATTACCCGAATTGCTGATTATCCAAATCGCTTTTCGATTTTCAGAATTTTCCACAATCAACTGAAGAAGAAAAGGGGAACCAGGAGGGACAGGAGAAGATGAGGGTGATGTGTCGCTTGAGGAATTAAATAAATTCCTGGATGTCCAGAAGTTAGTGCTAAGGATACAGCAGGATGGATGGTGTGTGACTCGTCAGACTCTGGGTTTCAAATTCTAAATGACGAATTTTTTGAAAGTGTGAGACAAGAAGATGACCTTAACGTCAAAGTTGAAGCAGGCACGGGACCGGCAGCTAGTCAAGCGTTTGCCGGCCTTGGAACTGCTCTGAAGAGGATGAAGCGTCAGCCCGAGTGTGACCACATGCAATTTATAGTTGTCGAGCGGACGCGCGACTTGGCTGCCCAAAACTGGATGAAGACAGTCAAACAGCATTCTTCGACCGAGATGTTTAGCAAGCAATGATAATCACCCCTTGTAAGTACTGTACCAGTATGCTATATAACATGTACGTAAAGGTGTTGTCTTTTAATTTTAATTAATTAAAACCTCTTTAAATTTTTTTTTCCATTTTCAACACACATTACATACAGTAATTAAGTATACGTAGACCCTTTCTTCATAAAAAATCCAATTATCCAAATTTTTGATTATCCGAATGGGGTCCGGTCTCAATTGATTAAAATAGTTGGAGTTCTGTTGTACTAATAATAATTATCGCGTCGATGAATAATTAAGTTAAATTTCTTGCATGCATTAACAACTTAATATGCTAGCACATACTAAATACGTTACTAACATACATGCTGACATATAGCAGATGCCTGTAAATGGACGATGTGAACTTTATCTCTGAAATGTTTAGCGTAGAAATATTAATGGGTAGTTAACGCCCAGATAAAATTTTAATGAAAGATAAAATTTTTAGCATCGCATATTTCTTTTACTCTTTATTTATGTCGTAGAGTTTATGCGTATGCAAATGATCGGCATGTATGATGATAGACATGGCAACACTTGTGAGCAGTTGAAAACAGTATAAAAAGAATCTAGAAACAGAAAGTTTCCTCGCTGTTTGCGGTATAATAATTCTTCTTTCATAGCTGAGAATACGTACGTAGCTGACAATAAGTGAGTAGACAAGGTTGTTTCTTTTTTTTTTGTAGTTTAGTTATTCCGTTTTACGTTATTTTACTTTTAATCTTCTTGATCTAAGCTTATCACAGCGTTAATCTGTAAATTCTCTTTTTTAAGGTAATGTGGCTTTGGAGACCTTTCTTCGTAGCATTTTGCTGTAAGTAATCTATAATTTAATCATAAATTCTCTTTAAGGTAATGTGGCTTTGGAGACCTTTCTTTGTAGCATTTTGCTGTAAGTAATCTATAATTTAATCATAAACTAGAACATCGCTAATGAAACCTTGAATAATTCGTATGCTTAGTAAACGTACTATTGCTTTTCGGATTACTGATAAAGTATTTTAATGTTTCTCGTTCACTGAATTTTAAACCTAACTTCAAATGTAAGCTATTCCTCAAGTCTTAACAGTTGCAAAATAATACCAGTATTCTACGGGTGACAGCAATTTTCGAGGATTGCCAAATAACTTAATGCGAAAAGTAGTTTAACACTTACAATTATTTCCTAACTTAAATTCTTACTTATTGTGCCATGAAATAAGCTCTGCGTGAACCGATACCCTTAACCTGATAAAACTCGTGGTTTTACACTTCAGTTTAAATCAAGAGATGGGAAGGTCGCCCAGTCTGTATATAAAACGCAGGGAAATATCTATCAAATACAAGAACGTCACTAGGCACTGTACGTTAAATTTTAATGTTAACAAAATAAGAGAATCGTTTTTATATTGTGATAATTAAAATTTAAGAGAGGGAATACAATATGTAAAATCTTATTTATTTTATTGTGTAAAATTACGTAAAATTTATTACGTAAAATTTTCATTAATTTCTATTTCGTATGTAAAACTTTAAAAAACTGACTTATGTCAATGATATGCTTATTTTATTAGTTTGCCTTAATTTTAAACACCAGTTTTTACTAGCGCGAAAGCTAGCGTTCTATTTGAATACTAATACTGAGCTATAAATAATGTAAAGTGCGTAATACGATACGTGAAGGTTCACACACTGCTTAACGCTTAATGAACTAGAAATTCAAATGTTTGTTAATCTTCGGGTTATGGTAACTTGGCGATTTTTTGGCGACCAACCCTGCTAGTTTTTTGGACGCCATTTTGTTTTCACGAAGTTAAGGCATGTTTTTTTAACTCAACATTTTTCAACAATCTGCTAGCCGAATTACGCTTGTGCTAGAACTTTTATGGACAAAAGTGCTTAATCATGACGAAGATTAGGTGCGAAATTGGGAGAAAGTGCAGAATCGCCCACTGCTTGGCGTGTTTTTAAGAATTGCACGTGCACGGTATCATCCATGTACACATCCTTCTATTTTCACTTAAAAAAAATCTCAGAATTGCACGAAAATGGCATTGCGCACACTCTGTACTTTATCCATGTACACTACTAAAGTCCTGGCTAGTAACTTTTTTCGCCTTACCAAAATGTCGCCAAAGCACCTGTTACCATATTCCAAAGATTAGCCCAAATGTTAAGTTATTAAATATGTATAGTTTAATACTGCATATTTATGCGCTTTCAACAAAACCCCATCGGTACTGATGAAGGACTTGAGTCTTTAATAATCTTGGACTATTCTCATTAAACAGCTGCTTCATTAAAGCATATCTAACATCATGGTTATTTTCAGGCACATTACTTCGCATTAGTGTCTGCCAATCGAATATTTCTGAACTGACCGGAGAAAACATTCTTGTAAGTATTTCTTCAGAAAATTTCTTGATTAAACTTTTCCTGGTTTTATAAGACTTGTTGTAGCTTTAAATATTTTGCACTGTCGTAACTTGTTAGTTTTCACCTATTTCCTTCAACATTTAAAAATAAATCTTAAGTTTGAAGTGTGCTAAGCATACGTGTGTAACATGAGTTATAAGTTTGAAATTAAATCTGTTTACTGAATCTTTATTTTCGTATTTAAATTCTCTTTGAATAACGAAACCTCTGTGTAAATTTACTTCTGAAAGTTTAAACTAGCGTAATTAAAAGAAATTCACTTATTTTCATAAAACAAGTGAAACTTGACTTCCTGTGTTTTTAAAAGTTGTCCTTCAAGTATATGAAATCGAGTTTTAAAATTGTTCATTCTTTTGCCCAAAGAGTTAATAAATATCCTAATTCTTCCTTGTTTTCTCGTATTGCAGTTAAAAATTTCTTAGCATCTACATGCGTCCAATATTTTAATTTATGAACTTCGAAAAACTTGAGTTTCGGCCGCATGTATTAAAACTTTTCTCACTCCATCCATAAAATTACATTTGGAATGTTCTGAGCTAATTTTGAAGTTTAGTTCTGTCTTTAGTTTCTTTATGAAATCGTAAGTGTTCCCTTAACTTATTCATTGCCTATGAAAGACTTCAATATAAGAAAACTGGTTGATCGTTAACTTTTCACCAAAGTAGTAACTTAAATTTATTATGAATCTAAATTTATGAATGTTTCTAGGAAGTCGAGTAAGTAGCTGTAAGTTTTGTTATTCTGCTAAAGAGCGGTTTCGAAGTTTCCGTTATTTGAGTTCTGGCTGATAAAACAAATTTTCTGTTAAACATTTAATCGACAATTGAACTTGAAATTTAAAGTTTTCAGTTTTAACAAACTGACTTGCTCGAATTCTGATTGAACTTCGGTACGAAAGCATTCCGTATAATTTCATCTCTCATTTAAAACAGTTTCAGTACAACTGAAATGCTAAAAAATCTCTGAATTCGCAATTCCGTACCATCTGACAAAGCTAAATATCGTCAAATCTGTCATTTCCTGCTGCTCGGCTTTCTTGCAAGTGTTGTAACTGTCTAAATCTTGTACCATAAATCTTGCTAATCGTAAACTGTTTCGTTTATGGGTAAATTTTCATATTACTTTGTGCCTATTAAGCGGATCGGGAAGTAGCATTTCCCAGTAAGTGGTTTCTAATGTCTTGATTGCTTCATACTAGCTCAAGTTCCATGAGCGATTATTTCAGTTGCTCTTAATCAAATTTCTGTACTTATCTCAATCACTAGACTCGGGTAATGTTCTTTTCAATACTCCAGTAGAGTTAGACGTTTATATAATAAACAAAAAAATTATCTTCTAATTGGTTTAGTTAATTGGATAAAATCAGAATTTCTAATCGGGAATAAATCATTCTATACTTCTATTACAAAAGCTTAAGATGTTCCGCCAGAGCAGAAATGGCCAACAGAGTTTAACATATTTCGCTGCAAAATCAACTATTAAAACTCTTCAGTGTTTCATAACATCCATAGCTCGAACTGGCGTGGAACGTGAATGTTCTATTGATGAAATGCCAGAAACTGATGTTTTATTCGTTTACATTTAAATTATTTAATCAGTTGTAAATTCAGTCTCCTATTCTATGAAACGTCCCATTTAGATGCTTGAAATTTAAGTTTAGAGTTTTATACACTATTGAATTAAATTTCCTACGAGAGCTATTTACGACGACTGTTGGAAATACTTCGGAACAATTCCTAAAGGCATAATTAAAGTAGATATCTATAGTTTTCCTGTTTCAGGTTTTAAAAACTGGGTAAGGTGCTACAATAGCGTGGCCTTTTATTCACAAAACGTGGGCATTGAATTCTCGGCTGGAGTATAAAAGCTAGAAAAAGCAGTTTTTTGAAAATTGCCTGGGTGACTGCTGAACTGTTATGTAAGCCTTGATGGCTGACGTTTCGTCAATTTTATAAACTTCCAAACAAGTTACGAAGCTTAACATTAAGATACTGCAGACTTTATTCAGATTAATCTAGCGTAGATGTACTCTTTTCTGCATGTCTTGTAAATAAAACTCCCATTAATAGATTCTTCAACAATATGAATGCAATTCATGACTCTCTTCTCGATTCTTATCGCACTCCATACGATCACTCCAAGGATCTGAATCCTGGAGAAAGGACTCTCAATTAAGACTTGTAAAAGTAACTTGCTGACCTTGAACCCGAAACTTTATATAAAGTTGTACTTCAAAGTCTTTGCCAACTCGCATAAATTTCTTTTTATTCCTTGCTGCTAGTCAAACTACTTCAGATGCTTTTAAGCGGAACGTCTAGCATCCTAAAACTTCTACTTAGCAAAACAAATTGACCATGCTAATTTTAAATTCCAAGCATTTTTAATTTATCCAAAAAGTTGACATTAGATGGATTTTTCAGTAAAACTACCGTAACTTGACCTTCTTTCGCTAATTTCAAATTGCTGCATTTCAAGGGTCTTGGGCAGCTTCAAAAGCAAACATTTTCCAAAGACCTATGTGTAATCGCTCTTAAACCTGTGTACTTTATTCAATTTCGGCAAACCAAAAATTTTAAGCTAATCTTTAAACTTTATTCGATCAATTTTAATAATTTTAATCTGTTTCATTTCCATAACATTTGCTATTTACAACTCTTTCAGAGTGTCTTTCGGTCCATACTTGACATGGAATGCCCGGAAGGAGAATGTGATGCCCGTAGCCTTATTTCCGAAGAAACTCGTGATCATTCCGCAGTCGAACAACCTATAAGTGAAAATGGCCATGAAATTCAGTCTGAAGCCCGGCGGCACAGACGCGAAGATCTTGAATTTTTTCCTGAAGAAAAGCAGGATCACTCGGAAGTTGTGCAGTCTGAAAGAAGCGTAAATGTTGACATTGCTTCGAGTTTAGTTTTCTGTGAACAACTCATGTCTACTATTGATGAAATAGAGCTCAGACATCCCGAATTTAAGTCCGAAAAATTTGAATTACTTTCTAGATTCAGATATTACTTGGCAGAATACTCGCAGTTCTTTAAGGTAGAATATCCAGGAGCACCAGTCTTGAAATTCCTAAATCTTATATTGGCAGTTATTGAAAAGATAAAGTACGATTACCATATGGGACTAGCTGAAGAGGCCTTTCTCACAAAAGACGTTGACGCTGAGAAACAGGTGGACGTTGCGACTTATGTATCTACACAAGCTCCAGAAGAAATCATAGCTGAGGAAGAAACTGATATCCTGTCACCAGGTTTTGTAGGTTCTGTTAGGGGAATTCCTGGTGAACACTATCCAAATTACTCTGAAGTTCCAATAACGTCTTTCACGTGTGAAGACAAGAAGTATATTCCAGGATTCTATGCAGATCTGGAGACTGGCTGTCAGGTAAGAATTAGTTTACATAAACACCAAATCGGTTAAACTGGTAATTTATATCACAAAGTTTCTACATATTAATATAAAAATATCAGTTTCCGTATAATAAAAAGTAAACTTGAATATAAATTTCTTTAGTCTAAAAGAGCTCTTGTTCTCGGAGAGAAACTTGTTACCTTTATTTTTTGACATACAGAAGCTTGTGGTCGAGCGATTTTATTCATGGAACTTTCTTTCGCAGGTTTTCCATGTCTGCTATCAGCACCGAAGGGAGAGCTTTTTGTGTCCAGTTGGAACCACATTTAATCAGCCAATTCTAGCTTGCGACTACTGGTACAGTTCTAATTGTTCGTTATCACCTTTATATTATGACATAAATGCGCCAACTGAAGAAATCGCGAAGCCTACAAGTGAAGTTGAAGCAACAATTGGTGCTCTTATAACTTCAGTTATCGAAGGTGAAAAAACAGTTCCACCAATAGAAGTGAAAACCGATGCAAAGGTGGAGCAGAATGAACTGGCTTCTATAATAAAGTTTTTACCTGTAAAAGCTGAAGTGCTTTCCTTTCCCGAAGAGCCGAAAGAAGTTCTGGTGGAATCTCCAGTGCCTGTAAAAGACGTTGAGGAAACTGCTAGCAAGGTATTTGACAGTTTATTGTCGACATCAACCCAGATAGTGGGCAAAACTAGAGATGTTGTTAAAGCTATTCCTGATGTCGGTGATGCAGAAATAGTCAAACATGGTACAATTGGCAAGGCTGCTGTTTCGGCGGTCCCAATTCTCGGAAAAGCAAAGCTTGCCAAAGTTAAAATTGCTACTGCTGCCGTCCCTTTTGTTGCAAAGACGAAACTTGCTGCTGGTGTCCCACTTGTGTCAAAGACTAAACTTGCTGCTGCTGCTGTCCCACTCCTAGCAAAGGCGAAACTTGCTGCTGCTGCTGGTGTCCCACTTGTGTCAAAGACTAAACTTGCTGCTGCTGGTGCCGCCAAGGCTAAAATAGCTGCCGTCCCTTTTATTGCAAAGACCAAACTTGCTGGTGCCGCCAAGGCGAAAGTCGCTGCTGCTGTCCCACTAGTTGCAAAGACTAAACTTGCTGCTGCAAGTGCTACCAAGGTTGCTGCTACCGCTAAAGCGATCAAAGTAGCTGCTGCAGGTTTGCCGAAATTTAAGGTAGCAAAAGCATCGATTCCTGTTGTGAAAGGTAAAATGCTCGCTTTGCCGCTGGGAAAGAAAAAGTTTGCAGCTGCTGCTCTTCCGTTTAAAGTAAAAGCTGCAACGAAATTTGTACCAGCTGTTAAACTTGGTGCTGCTGCGAAGTCTAAACTTGCCTTTATACCTTTGAAAGCTAAAATAGCAAAAGCTGCTGTAATTTCTCCGGTGACTAAAAAGGCCTTGGCTTTGGCTTATATGAAGCTTATGAAAGCTAAAAAGATGGCCATCATGGGTTAGATACTTGCATTTTTATGGACTAATTTGTTATTGTTACTGCTCAAGGATTGTTATGTATTAATTATTTAAATTTTATAAAATTAATTTATTTGACTTCGTTTATTCTTAATCTACAAACCATATGTACACGAATGATTTCAGGAAAATGTTCAGATTTAAAAGTAATTCTGTAGAATTCTCGTTTATCAACACAATTTTTCCTCAAATTAACAATTATGTACAGCTGTTCTGAAAGTTGAATGCTATACTTTACTCAACCTAGAAATAGAAGACTAATTAAATTTTAACTTGTGAAGGCTCGAAACATTCAACGATTGCAGTTCACTTTAACCTATGCTCCATTATCTGTTCTTCATGCAGAAAGTTTGTAATACTTTAAGGACTTAATTCGTTGCAGTAATTTAATTAATGCAAGATGAGGTCAAGCGATACTTTGATAAGTTCTCTTCAAGATCCCAGTAGCTATCCATGAAATGAATATAGTTGTGGGAGGTGTTGTAAACAACTTGGGTTAAGTTATTGTACGCTACGAGAAGTTGAGTTTTGAGATGCTTAATTCTAGTGCATGGAGTTTATCATCGTAGATGACAAATTGTCTAAATTAACTTTCCACCACCCCATTTTAAAAATACGGCTTTCCCTTTGCCCAAATGTAGAAGGTAGAACTCGATTTAGGTCTAATTTCCTCTCGCCTTCATCAATTTTAAAGCTTAAGAATATTGGTTTATCTAGTATGGCAAGAAAAGATTCCTAATTTAAAGCTCGTACTCTTCTACAGCCCTTTAATGGCAATGGGATTGGTAAACTTCTGGTACAGCAAGTCTAAATTCCGCCTACACCACGGTTACTTAACGCTTTTACTTAAAGTGAAAAGTTGAACTTTTTTCCTAACAGTTTTAGAGCTAATAGCATGTGAAGCCGTTTTCACAAGATCTAAAATTTTGACCAGATTAGTTAGAGCCATAGTTGATCATAACCTTTCTCTCACTATTTCGATCTTATGAGTGCCTTTTTATAATAACTTTTCTACTGGTCTTTAACATAACCTTACGGTTTCACGTTTTCGTCAGTTTATACTGTTATAAAGAGTGGAGAGCTCATTTTTATTAAAGTGGTTTTTAAAAACCCGAATTATTTTTACACATAATTTGCGTCTTGTTATATTTCAGTTTCTAAAAGGTTAATTATGTTCCAGTTTTTGTTGAGTTTCTAAAAATCCTCTAAACTAAGCCAGAACTTTTCGCCGTCAAACAGATTTAGAAAATAGGATTTTACGACTCGAAATCTTAAAAACGAATTTCACTAGAACTGCAAACCTGTAAACATAAAAGTTCCTTTTATTTTTGCAAGAGTCGTTATTTTGTTCAATGCTATTTTGTTCGAGTGCAACATTTGCATTTGTCTGAAATGGTTTAACTTGACTGGTCACCTTCAACTGCCAGTTGCTCCTGTATGCAATTTTACGTAGCTGAAACGGATTCCTCCTTCCTCAACAATGATCAAAAGTACGATAAAATTTCTTTCTTGAGCCCCCTGGACAGCTTTCGTTCCGCTTTATCGCTGTTTTCTAAAGTTCTACGAAAGATTGGAAACTTGTACAGAAATAATCGCAATGCAAAATGAACACATAGTTAAATAAAGTGTAGTTGGGTTTAATACCATACCTTTCAGTTTGGTTTACGTAAATTGTATGTTTAAGAAGGTTATAGAACTTGTTCAAAATGCTGTCAGTATAGCACCTCAGCTGTAGTTCAAATTATGGGTTTAAGATTATAGAATTAGTTTGAAACCGCTATCAGTATAATGGGTACATTGAAGCGTTAAGCAAACAGTCCACAGAAACAAACTTTAATTCCGCTCATTCATTTCCAAGAACTACAATAAAAACGGTTGGCCACTCAAAGTACTTTCATAGGCAATTTGTACTGTTGAGTTTTAATTTTGACTTTCATTTGTTTTGGAAAACTAGCACAAAAGTTTCTCCTGTTGCATAACTGAGATTGAATGAATGTGCAATGAGTTTATACTTGTTGTTTTTGTGTACTGTGTAACGCTAAACAAGCACCTACCGTAGATCATTGACATAACCTACCAGAGACGTACCATTCATTGCAGATGTTATAGAATCCCATTAATTATACCTGTTAGTAGATGTATTGAATTTAGCAAAGTTCTTCCGGGTATTTAGTTATGTTTCTACACTTTTGTGCAGGATATTTCTGCAACAAATTAGATTACATTCGTGTTGGACATCACGAAAGTTGTTTAGTGTTAACCCGCTTATCCATTGACCACTTAGCTTAATGTTACATCACCTTTACTTACAAGGCTTCTTGAAACAAATTGAGTACTTTAATATTAACAGAACATTCGAAAATAAAGTAGTCTTTAATAGCGTGATATAAACGGAAACTTACGAGACTTTTTACTAACACACATTTACAGTCATCATAGAAACATTAAATTAAAATATTAAAATACGTAATCTAAATTTATACATAGAGTGGAATGTTGATGCTTCTTGAAATAAATTGATGTCACGTAGTGAAAAAACTGACTATTCAAGCTGAAGATATTCTTCATGTGCCTACTCTCCCTTAAACAGGCTCAGAAGTCCTTGTCGTACGTTGATGAAAAATCATTTAAAGCTAGGTCTGTGTTATGTTTCATGCCTCACTTATTAAATATTTTAGAATATCTACTAAATTTTAACTAAGGAGTATAACAATGTTTCTGTCATAATTGTTAATGTACAATGCCAAAAACACACTTAACTTAAGAAATGGACTACTGAATTTATTTAAGTGGCAGGTTAATAAGGCTATCAGTTTTTCTTTTTCTGCAAAATATAGAGTTTAACAACTCGATAGCACATGGGCATGGATACTTGCTGCGAGTTTAGCAAGCATATTCTTCAGGAAAGTATCAAATTTAGACTTGAGCAAGAAAGCGTCATATTTGATACTTGAATTCTTTTGCTTTGTACTAATAGTACCGTATTCTACATTGCTAGTCTGAAAAACAATTCGTAGATGTTTCATCAGACATCTTCACTCACCGTCAGCTGAGTAAATAAGACCGCTGAACACTATTATTCAGAGTTCAGTTGAACTGACTGGCTGGATTATTACACTTCGCAAATGAAAACACGTGAGTATCTAAGAAAGCATTTAATTCACTTTGCTCAATATGCTGGGCGAAGTGGACAGTACCTAATGTGCATTATCAAAGTCGTCTGCTGTCACATGTATAGAAAGCCAAAATTAAATCAAAGTACATCCTATATTTAGTTCTTGTTATTGATTTAGTTTCGAACGTAATAACTTATATATTACGGACAGAAATATGTACGTTAGAGAAGAAACTTCTTGAAATAATGTCGATAATTTGGTAAACTTTGATGGACCATGAGAAGTTGGTATTTGGCAACCTCAAATCTTAAAATGAGCTCAAATATCAACGGAAGAAGGGAGTACATTATTATTTTTAATGGTTTTACCCATGCAAAACATGAATACGAGGCAATTCTTCTTAAAGCTATAGCACTGGCTGATTGATTAAGACTTCTGAATACGGGTAGCTAAACAGGGGTATAAACACAGGAGAACTGGCTGCATGCATTGTTAGCTTTCACTTTGGATATGAACCACTTTTCTTTAGAAAGTTATCCATGAAAGTATCCCTAATTCTTAAGCAGATAGATTTACAGATTTATTATATTCAAATAACTAATCATCATCTTAGGAAGTCCTCCACAAAGGTATGGCCCTCGAGCGGTAACGTCGTTGAACACTGGTAGTTCGGTCCGAGGTTCGAATTCCACGAACAGGCTGGCTGCATGGGCTTTTTCGTGGTTTTCCCCGTGTGTAACGTGTATACGAGCCAGTTTCCCTTAGAAAGTCCTCCACGAAGGGCATCCCTTCCTTAAAGCAGATAACCCTCGAATGCTTTGCGGTAATCTAATAAAACCAAACCAAACCAAAAACACAGAGGTATTTCTGCCACTACACTGATACTCTCCTATGCTTTGCTGTATTCGAATAAAACAATATTGCTGTATTCAATATTGAATAAAACAATTTGCTGTATTCGAATAAACATTGAAGCGTTAAGCAAAGTAAGTCTAGAGAAGCAAACTTTAATTCCGCTCATAATTCGTTTCTAAGGACTACAATAAAAACAGTTTAATTGGCCACTCAAGGTACTTTCATAGGCAATTTGTACTGCTGAGTTTAATTTTGACTTGCATTTGTTTTGGAAAACTACCACTCACGTTTTTCCTGTTGCATAACTGAGATTGAATGAATATGCAATGAGTTTACACATGTTGTTTTTGTGTACTGTGTAATGCTAAACAAGCACCTACCGTAGATCATTGACATAACCTACCAGAAACGTACCATTCATTGCAGATGTTATAGAATCCCATTAATTATACCTGTTAGTGGATATATTGAATGTAGTTAAGTTCCTCCGGGTATTTAGTTTAAGCATTTGTAGTTTACGTTCAGCTACGTGTGTAAGGATCAGGTAATTGCGGGGCTGCAGACTTGGTATTTTCAATGTTCTAGTAACTTGAATGTAACTTGAATAAGAGATATGTTTTGTTCGTTGATCTCCTAGTAACTTGAATAAGATATTTTTTGTTATCTGGTTATCACAGGGATTAAATTTAACGGTTAAATTTTAAGACTTATTCCTATAATGTTTTAATGTTTTTCAGGTGCTCATTTATTCGACATCATGTAAATTGGAAATCGTAATTGAAAATATTTTTTTGTGAGCTGCAAGAATTAAAAGTTGGTAATTAACTGTAGAAATAGTACAGTATCTACTCCTCGTTATTATTTTATTTCGGACGTTTTAGAACTGAATGATCTATAACAAACTGTATGTTTTAATATTACTGCATGATACAATATGTTTAACATTCTTTGGAAGACATTTAGAAGCAAAAAATTCTAATTGCCAAATGACATGCAAAATTAAGTAGAGTTTTACTTCGCATTATTTTGTTTTAAATAAACTACAGTTAAGACTTCATTTAATTCTGATATTCTTATTGTGGTTAGTCGAACCTGTTAGTTATTGGT